GGGACCACCGCCTGTATTTATTGGGCGGTTAGTACTTCATTTTTATAGGGAACATGTTTTTGGCCGCCATCTTGGATCCACCATATTGGACATAGATATTTTTTTTTCAATGTAATGATAGTGTTGTGACACATCATTACCAACTACATTTTTACACTGATTTCAATGCCGAAATCCGTTTTTAAATATCTTTATTCATTTAGAAGAAATATTCAAACGAAAACTCTCCACCATACATTTCTTATGGACGTTTCGTAGTTTGATATTAAACTAGTTATTTTTCTTATATCTCCAGTTCTTATTGACGCTTGTAGTTCGTTCTAGGCTTAAAATATTCAGTAATGTAAGGGCTTTAATTTGAGCTCTTGATCATTAAAATCAGACGAGTTGAAGACAAGCTAAGAACCTCAGAACAATATTAAATTTAACTTTTTAGAAATAAATTTTTATTAAAAGATTTATAACTCAGGTTGTTAATACGTCACAAAGTTATTTCTGGTCTCAAATTACTCACTAAATGTTTGGCTTTAATTTTATTGATCATTAAACAAAATCTGACAATTTTAAAATGAGTCATGGACCATAATTTAACATTAAAATGTATTTATATTGAAATTTGTCCTTAGTTAAAGACGTATATCCCCAATTCTAAATAACTCCCAAAACTCTTTATAGTCTTAAATAATTCGCCAAATTATTGACTTTCATTTTAGCTATGGATTACTTTCCGGGAGTTGTTAGGGTTTGGGATATATGTCCTTAACTAAAGACAAATTTCGAAATAAATACATTTTAATGTTAAATTAAGAACCATGACTCATTTTAAAATTATCAGATTTTGTTTAGTGATTAATAAAATCAAAGCTAAGCATTCACTGAGTAATTTGAGACCATAAAGAACTTGGTGACGTATTAAAAACCCGAGTTATAAATCTTTTAATAAAAATATGTTTCTAAAAAGTTAAATTTAATATTGTTCTGAGGTTCGTAGCAGGTCTTTAACTCGTCTGATTTTAATGATCAAGAGCTCAAATGAAAGCCCTTACATTACTGAATATTTTAAGATTAGAACGAACTACAAGCGTCAATAAGAACTGGAGATATAAGAAACATAATGTTAAAACAATTATCCAACTACGAAACGTCCATAAGAAATGTATGGTGGAGAGTTTTCGTTTGATTATATCTTCTAAATGAATAAAGATATTTAAAAATGGATTTCGGCATTGAAATCAGTGTAAAAATTTAGTTGGTAACAATGTGTCACAACACTATCATTACATTGAAAAAAAATTATCTATGTCCAATATGGCGGATCCAAGATGGCGGCCAAAAACATGTTCCCTATAAAAATGAAGTACTAACCACCCAATAAATACAGGCGGTGGTTCCAAGTCAATATCTCGAAAAATGTGCATAGCAAATGCATGTGAAATATGTTTTTTTTTATTTGTCCAATGTTGGAAAAAGCCGCCATTTTAAATTTTGATTTTAGTGGTTTTCTCGTGCACCGATTTTTGGCAACTTTTAGTATGTCATTCTGCAATCCCTAGTCTACAAAATTAAACCATAATACGTTTTCTTGCAATTTTTTTAACGATCACTATGTAAGTTTGATTAGTTTGCTTGGACTAAAAGTTATTCTTGATTATAAGTGTATTTACTTGAAAACCCTATCTTATATTTTAACTCAGCAGTTAAAAAAAACTTGCAAACATTAATCTTGATAAAAAACAAACTTGAATCTTTTATGAATGAAAACTATAATCATAATATTATTTAACATGACATCAAAATGATTTACAACTACCCATTCAAATAGACTTGCCTCACTTGAAACCCTTCAACAATATCCAGGGAAAAAATGGTATAATAAACTGTCTCATTAGAATCATTAGAATATTTTCAGATATACAAAATAGAAGTTACCGAATTTCTGCTTAGCATAGAATATTTAGCAAATGATTAAAAAAAATATTTTTATTTGATTTCTTAGCATATTTTTAGTTATGCATAGTTTTATGTATTTTGATTGGCCATGACCATTTCACCTGTTTCTTAGCTACGCCGGACCTGTAAACAATTTGTAAAAATAAATTATTGACTTGATTTGACTTTTAAAACTTTATTCATAGGCATATACTTTATTTACACTATTTTCACATGTGCATCATCACCTCTTATCATACTAGGTAGCCTAATAAGTTTTCACCACTTATTTACATAAATTAAAAGAAAGAGATGTTCATCAAACTAAGCGAGACATCTGATTTTTCTAGTTTATTCACGACAAGCAGCTAATGTCAATAATTATCTGGCCCCTGCCCCCCGACTTGGGTGTGGGTGTGAGTGCTGGTGCGAATAAGGGCTCGGGTTGAACGTTATCACCCCTCATCCACTGACCCCTATTTTGCTTAGTGGGTGGTGGCACTTGCTGTGATGCTGGGTAATCCAACCCTATCACAGTAATTGCCTCCGCCATTGCATACAACATTGTATATGAACAAGCACAGAACAAGATGACACAGGTTTTACAGTTGGAGTGGTTGATAGCTTTGCTGGATGCTGACTTGTAACATTATCTCTAGGCGATTACCTATACCAGCTACACCATGTATAAAGTTCTACTGTTCGCTGTTTTGCATTTCTGTAACTTGGTGTAGAGCATTAAGCCCATTATAGAATAATTAATTATTAAAACTCATAAAAAGTCAACTCAATCAAAACTATTTATTTACAAAAACAATAATAATGTAAACAAACCAAATAGCAGATGATTCGTAACTTCATAACTTTGTACCTTTTGTAGCGAAAGTAACCTACATGAGTTGCTATTGTAAGATACTTTTGTGACTCGGGGTGTACTTTGATTTGCAAGTACGCCTCTCGAAGGTCTATGACTGAAAATACCTTTCCATCAGTTAATTTGGAAGAGTCATCAAGGGTTGGCAAGAGGTGTCTTTCCGGGAGGATGTTTGGATTCAAGGTTGTACGAAAATCGCCACAGATCCTGACTCTACCTCCGCCCTTGTCTACGTTGACTGTTGGGGTACTCCATACTATCGGTGTTTCGGAAGGGTCCACTGCTTCCAAAACTCCTTCCTGTACTAATCTCTGTAATTCTTGCTCCACTGCCTCCCTTAAGGGGAATGGAACTCGTCGTGCCCCGTAAGATACAGGTTTTGTTCCACTTTTTAGATGGATAACTTCATCAGCGTCAGATATCGTTCCTAGCTCATCACGAAAGAGTTCAGATAACTCCTGAGTTAATGCCTCAACTTCTTTTTGTAACTCTTTTCTATAACTTTCTTCATTCTTACCTGTCTCTTTACTATTTGTCTTTCCATTGTCAATACGCCTAACCCTTACTTCCCTAGGCAAATTAAGATTGAAAGCTACACTCCACAGCAACCCAAGTAATGGAACATCATCTTCTAGTAATACAGGCAATCGCTTAGTACGATTACGTGAAGTAACGTCCACAAAAGCCTTACCCACAACTTCTAGCTTATTTTTCCCATAGCCAGTGATGACATCAGATGTCTTTTTGAGAGATTTGCCACTTGAATTGATCTTATCCCAAAGAGACAAACTTATAGCACTTACCCGAGCCCCGGAATCAAACTCCGTTCTAACATTATACCCGTTCAATTCTACATCTATTGTAGCTCTAGATGGGAACCTTACTCTTGACTTACCTAATTTGTGTTCCGCTAACATCAATATCAGAATTATACTCATCATTGTAATTTTGATCACAAGAATCATCTACTTTTCTCAAATTACTATCTGTTCTCTTGACAAAATTATTTTTACTTTTACACATTCTTGAGAAGTGGCCTGTCTTTGAACACTAATTGCACACAGCAGAAATAGCAGGACACCTATCTTCATTAGAGTCATGCACAAACCCACATCTATAACATCCAGTAGATTTATGTACCTCTGGTTTCCTCTTTTCCTTACTGTCACTTACTTTGAAAATCTCATTTTTACACGAATGTTTGGAAACTTCTTCTCTCGCGCGTTCCATAGATTGAGCTAACTCTAGTACTACTGTTGACTTAACACGCTCACCTCGGTTATTAACTCCCTCGGGCCATCTTTGTCTGACTTCGACTTCAAATTCTGGACAGTTGCTTCCTACTGTAAACCTATCTCGTACTCGTTCATCTAAGCTATCTCCATATGTACAACTTCTAGCTTAGGATTTCAATCTACCTCCCAGCAAAAAAATTTACTAGTGAAAAAAAATTATTAAAAATTTATTTTAATGTACTGCAAGTGCATTTATTTTATTTTTTTTTATAAAAGAAAATAAATGTCTCACCATATTTTCTTATAGCCCTTACAAACTCAAACCTTGTTGCAAAAAGGGTCCTTGTAGGCTTGAACAACCGGTTGGCTTCCTCTTTGACTTCGTCGTAGGTGCACTCCTCCCAGGCCCTTGGATACATCTGGTCCGACAGTGCCCTGAGGTGCTCCTCTCCGATATTTGCCAATGGAAGATCTCGCCGAGCTGCTTGTTCTTCTGTGTCAGCTTCACCCAGTCCCTTAACTCTGCAGGTCAACTCAAAACGAGCTATGTAGTCTTCCCACAATTGTTCACTATTATACTCTTTAAATGAAAATCTGCTCATTTTATCTTGTATGCAAGTTACTACAATCAATTACATTCTTATACTGAGACTGGCCTGTTTTCCTCGGCATTTTTTCGTCGCCAATATAGAATAATTAATTATTAAAACTCATTTTAAGTGAACTCAATCAAAACTATTCATTTACAAAAACAATAATAATGTAAACAAACCAAATAGCAGATGATTTATAACTTCATAACTCAGCTGATAACAATAATCCTACATCTATGATGCAAGTTGATTTCGATACTCTGCAACTAGGTTTTGTATTCAAAGTTGCAACATATAATACGGGCCTTTTCTATGTTATCAACTGCACCATTGGATGATTTTAACAAAATATATTTCCTTTTTTATTACCTTTCCAAGTGGTGGATGAACATCAAAGAAGAATGTTCTTTTGATGTACCAGCTCCCCATCTTACCAAAATGTGTTTCATCCCAACTGAAACAAGAAATTTAAGAAAAATCAACTTATTCTTTATTTAAAACATCAGTGTAATATACAGGGTGGAAAAAGTCCCAGGACGGTTTAATATTTCAAAAAGTAATAAAGATAGAGCTTCAAAACTTAGTACACAGTTACTGGGCATTTTAATGATTTTAACACATTTTTCAGTGATGTGCTAACTCCTCAAGCCGAGCGTTGCGCGGCCCGCACGGCGTGAGGCGTGCCACGCCTCGCGTCGTGGGACAGGGTGAGCGCGTGGTGGTACGCGCAAGAGTGGTAGAGCGGGGTTGCGCGTCCGTTCCCAGAAAAATGTCGGTAAACATCAAAGGCGCGGGTTGGAGCGAGGATCACCCTGCGCTAGTACTATTTAGTTATACACGTTTTGTAAACTGTTGTTGAAAGAAATTAAATAAACATTATCATAATTATCAATTAATTAATACTATTTTAGTCATTTTAAAAAGTGGACATTATTTATTTTCATGTTTAAATTTAATAAAAGTAACAGCCAATAACCTGTAAGGTAAAGTAACCTGATGTATAACATCCTTTATACGAACATTATTTACCTTTATTTCATTTTTATGTTCTTCAATAAACGCAATGCAATCTTCATCAACGCATCTTAATACAGTTTGTCTGAGCAAAAATGACAAGACTAACATAGCTGTCCCCAGTGACAAGAAACAGCAATTTGCTCTTGCATAGGTATACTTTCTGTCAATACAAATACAGTGTAGTACGGAGGTCTCCATCTTGTACATAATCCACTGTGGCCCACAGACCGCCGCGACACGCGTCGTGGGACATAGGCTTCAGGGGGACGGCCGCAAGGAGTCAGAAGAAAATCTTAAATATAAGCATAGGTTGATATGCATATCAAATTAAATAGGACTATGTTAGTAACATTCTAATATACAATGTCGCAAATCCGCCGAGTAAAAAATGACAGCTATTCAAAGATACATTGAATTTGCAATGCTATCGTACGCTACCTCCTCAGGGAGGCGCTCGCTAGAAGTCGGAAGAAAATCATAAATATAAGCATATGTGATATGCACATTAAATTAAAGGTTTTAATTAATCATTATAATACAATGCCACAAATTTGAGCTCAAACGAACAACTGAGTAAAAAATGGCAGCCGTTCAACGATCCAAAATGGTGGATTCAAGATATCTTTGAATGGCTGAAATTTTTGACTCAAATGTCCTTTAAGTTCAAATGTGCGGCATTGTATTTTACTAGTAAAAACCTTTAATTTTATGTGCTCCTCAACCTATGCTTACATTTAAGATTTTCTTCTGACTCCTTGCGGGCCCCGTCCCCCTGAGGAGGTAGCGCATCACTAAATGATGTGTTAAAATGAATAAGTAATCCATAGCCAAAAAAAGATGTCAATACTTTGACATATTATTTAAGACTATAAAGAGTTTTGGGAGTTATTTATAATTGGTTATATGTCTTTAACTAAAGACAAATTTAGAAAAAAAATAATTTAATGTTAAATGAAGGTCCATAACACATTTTTTAAATTTGTCAGATTTTATTTAGTAATTAATAAAATTTAAGGCCAACACCTACTGAGTAATTTGAGACCAGAAAGAACTAGAACGAACTGCAAACGTTAATAAGAACTGAAGATACAGTATAAGAAAAAATAATCTTAAAAAATTTCCAAATACGAAACGTCCATAAGAAATGTATTGGGGGAGATTTTTCATCTGAATATATCTTCAGAAAGAAAAAAATATATTTATAATTGGACTTTGGCATTGAAATCAGCGTGAAAACCTAGTTTATAATGATATAACACAGCATAATCATTAAATTTAAAATATTTTATCTACAGTACAACACTCCCGATTAACAGAGGTTGTTGGAACCGAGACTATCTTGGTTACCAAGAATCTCGGATAACACGGAGATTGCATATATTTTGAGGTTAGGGTTACGGTGTACCTTATTATTCAGTCAAACACTTGTAAAATATATCTTTAAAAAACACATGGGCTAGGGAATGACAAATGATAATACTTTGATGCAACCTTTTTCCAAATAACGTAGTATTGTGTAACCAAACACGACACACGACAAACTCACATGCAACCCGCATATGAAACATAGAATACTCATGTAACCAAACACGACACATATCAAACTCACTTCCTACCTACAAACTATACATAAGACCACGTGCAACTGAATATGACACACGACAACATCACGTGTAACCGGCACATGACACAAAACTCACAAAAATAACTCAGGAAAAACTTCACATTACGACATTCTAGCCCTTCACTGCTGCCCCAAAACACACTGTACCCCAAATAAAACTGATTAAGAACTGCACAAAAGTGGTGATTACAAATAATTTTAAAAAATATTTTAAAAACCAAATTTGTCAAAACTACAAAAACTCCACAAATTAAAACCAAGATCGAAGTTTAGTAAAAAAATTACAAAACCCTCCAAGCCTCCAACACCAGTAACGGTAGGTACCCCAGCTAGTGGAGGTACCCACTGTTACTTTGGGTGACGTAGCTCAGCAATAAAACTCAGCAATCTCTTACGAAACCCAAATTTATTATTACCCAAAACAAAACAAAGAACAGAAAGCTCAGTAACAATCACAAAGGTAGAGTAGAGTGGAACAGTGATGATAATTCAGTATAAAACCGAAACCCCAATTTGGAAAAATACTCTAAACCCCAATTTTGAAAACCCCTAAAATTGCCTTACCTGGGCCAAAGGCCTTAGGCTCCAACTCCCCCAGCAGGACCCCAACCTCTTGTAAAACACCTTCACCACTATACACAAAACTGACCTGATCAAGTGCACTGGCCTACTTAAAGCAACAGCCTTCAGTAGGTCAGCCCAACAAGTTATTGATTAACAACACTACCAGCCTACTCACAAAACATTGCCAAATACTTCCTCTTCACAAAATTTGACCCCTTCCTATTACAATTTATTGTTAAAGAAAAATACTCCCGCCGCAGCAAACCTGCAGCAGGGACATATTTCCGAATAGGCAGACTAGGCGCCCGCCTAGAGCGGGCCAAATTTTAGGAGCGGCAAAATTTTAGGAGTTAAAAAATAAAAAAGTAGGTTTTAATCTAAAAAAATGAATGTTTAGCAAATAATTTTGGGAACGGCAAAACAGCCATTTGAAATATTTTGATTAAGTATAAGATTATTTCAGAACGCATCAAAGTCAAACAAATGTCAATAGTTTATTACACAGCTGTGCTGGGTTTTCCGTGCTGTCCTATTGGTCTGACGGACACGTGCGCCGCAGGAGCGGGTTGCCGGCCGCTGCAAAGCTTTGGTGAACAAAGAAAACACTTCCCCCTGTGTACTTCATATATGCCACTACGCGGCAGCACCAGCTTAATGGTAGAAAGACTTGACCAGAGACTGGTCCTAATTTTTTTCACTGGGTGACCGACAAGTTAGTACCATTGTCTGCCGCTTGCAACGCTCCTCTCTGTCTCCTGTGTCTGGCTGTCTGCTGACTCTGGAGAGATGAGAGCGTTCATCTTCAATGTTCAAGTGATGAAGAAAGGACGAATGACAATCTATATATATATAATACGCTAAGCCGATTTTTGTAAACAGAACTCCTCCCTCATTTTTGGACCGATTTTAATGGTTAAAAAGTCAAAATAATGGCCCTGATCTGTAGTTTTGCAAAGTGGTTTTCATTTTTTGAAATCTTTATTAGTTTGGGCAGGATCATCTATCAAAGTTGGGTTTTCTCCCATAAGATTAACATGGGGGAATCAAAATATTTAATTGGAAACTTTGTCTCCCCTAATTTGAGAGAACGGGGTGTAGAAACTTGGTGTCCAAAGAAAGGTCTTGGTCTCTAGATAAGTTATCAAAAGAAAAACTAAGTGAATCCCGTTAGGGCTCTGCCCCAGAAGCCCTTAAAGATCCCTCCACAGATTTGTTTACATTTTGATCATGTGGATGATACTTTTGAATTAAACAGCTGTTAATTCTTAAATTGTATTTTAAACAACACACATTTTATTGGGAGTTATTGAATTGTCCAAAAGAAGTATTTGCAATGTTATTTACTGATTTTAACATTTATTTTCTTCCGTATCATGCCATGTTTTGCAATATAACGTTCCATTACGAAATCAGTTGACAATCATTTTAAAAGGTTTTTATTAGCTTGCTTTCTTGTCCGGTACAAATTTTGCAATCAATTTTATACTAACTTCCCGATGAGCTAGAGACTTTAAACTTGAAACATAGCTCACAAATGAAAGACAATGCAATATTATATCATTTAATTTTCATATTTTCCTCGGGCTACGCCCCATGGGCTTGTTTTTATTAGCTCGCTTTCCTACAAATTTTGATATCAATTTTAAACGAAGTTCCCGATGAGCTAGAGACTTGAAATTTGAAACATAGCTCACAAATGGATGACAATGAAATATTGTATCATTTAATTTTCATATTTCCCTTGGGCTACGCCATAGATAAAACATACTCCCTTAGTAGATTTCTCATCCTTATGGAACAGCTGAAGACAATATTATTGTTAGTTCATGTACGGTTTATGTAGAGGTCGTGTTTTGTTTACAATTTGTTTCCCGTTATTACAGCCATTTAAAACCTCGTTTAACCAAATAATACGATCTAATCATAAACAATAACTTGCCCCCTGGTTATATAACCAAACAGTAAAGCACAAATCAAGAAATTAACCCTAAAATAATGGAAACAAAGTTTCATCGATACTGGTGCCTTTGTGTCACGTACATGAACTAGACACTTCAAAATTTACAATGGGATGAGAAGTCTACTTGTGTTGGTTAGTCTATGGCTACGCCCATGAGCTTCAAAATTGACCATGTTTACATTTTGAAAGAATGTAAATATATCAATTAATTTAAGTCATCTGTAAATACTTAAATTTGACAGTTCGAAGAGCAGAGGTTAAGAGGTATAGGTTATGCTCCCAAGAGATT